TTCCCTACATATTATTACTATATCTATTTGTCCTCACAAAGCTATATTATATGCTTAATATAATAAAAAATATTTTTTTTTCACAAAATTATGTGTCAATTTTTTATAAAATATATTTTATGTATTTAAGGGTTTTAATTTATTATTTTATTTATGGCCTATAAAATGTTGAGACCGACTTTATATCAGGTGTCAAAATAATTGACACAAAAAACCGTTTTTAATTATGTTTGGTGTTTAAAAGTTCAAACTCTTCATTAATCTTGCTGAAGTACACATGCAAGAAGGGATTGAGGGCAAAGGAGCACATCTTGCATCGAAGAAGGGAGAGTGTATTTACCGGGATAGTCTAATAGTGTGTTTGGATGAAGAATTTTACAAATTCAAGGAATTTTAAATTCTTGGTATTTGAATTACTTTGATTTCAATTTCTATCATTCTTAAAATATTTTGTTTGGATGAGTCAATTCAAATTTCTTAAATTTTAAATTGTTAGGTTGAATATAATAATTTAATTCCATCATAGTAAAATTGATTTTAAAAATATATTTATATGTTGAGATTTTTAAATTAAATTTTATAAAAATAAATATTAATTCATTTTTAAATATTTAATAATTACAAAAATTAATATTAGATAATATTTAATAATTTTTAAAATTACTATAAGATAATATTTAATAATTTTAAAAATATTTTTGAATATCCAATAATTAAAAGAATGAAGAGATAAGATAAAATATATAGGTGAAATAAGAAAAACAAATATGAGGAATTTCAAATTCTCCCATTTTTGGGAGAATTTGAAATTCTACTATTTTAAAGAATTTCACAAATGCTTGGATTTCAAATTCTTTGTAAATTTCTCATCCAAACAAAGCATTTCACCTAAAGGAATTTGAAATTCTTCAAATAAATGAATTACCCTATATAAATTCCTCATCCAAACACACCATAAAAGGGAAAAACTAAAAAAAAAAATTGGGAAGAGTAAGTGTATAAGAGTATTTCCAATGCTAGTTTTTATAAGTAACTTATTGAGATTTTCTTATTTTACATTAAACGAGATCTCTTTTATTACATTATTATTAAGCGACTCACATTACATTTTTACAAATTTCATTTTAACAGTGAAATCTTATAAATAATTCACATTTTTATATTATTTTATTTATATTTTACCTTTTGACAATTAAAAAAATTAATTAACTATTATATAATTAAATATTAATTTAATTAAATATAATATATTATATTTTTTTATTTGTTAAAGGGATTTGTATTTTAAGTAATATTGTTTATTTAAGAGACATTACTTAATTTTAAATAATTTTTTATGTCAGGTTATCATATATCAATAAGAATTGCTAATAAATATTATTACTTATTAATAAGATACACAATAAACATCTTACATTGAAATGATAAATATAAATAACGCAGAAGAATAATGTAAGAAAAAGTAACGAAGTGCAATGTAAATAATAACTGCCTTTCCAAAAAAAAAAAAGTAGATAAATATTTGTTACATAAATTTAAATTACTTTTTAAAATAGTAAAATCGAAGAATATTTAAATTATTTGTCACTTGTTCAATTCATGCTAATTAGTAACACGTTCACTAATGGCAAGTCCAAACTCATGATTATATAGACTGAAAGATCCAAAATCCAAGCCACCAAATACTGAGTCTTGAATCTTGTTACAATGCAGTTTTGTTCCCTGTAGTCAAAATCCCATGCTTTACACATCCTCCTAATTCTCCGCTTGATCAGTGCCATCACTGTAAAACAATTACCACTATCTTTGTTCTCGATACATTTACACCATCAAAACATGTATTATTTTTCTTTTAGGCAAAGATTAAGTGTTACAATGAGCATTGCAATGAAGATGTTACAGAATTTGCCACTACTACTTTTCTGTCTCTATTGTTTACCCATACAAGGATCAAATCAACATGAGAGAAAGGTAATAACTTCATTGTCTTGTGGGCTATAACTAAGCTTATTCTTATTCTTTATCTTTTTCTTATTCTCTGGATGGCTTATGTAGAATTTAATGTTGATTGTGACAACAAAAAATAAAATAAAACAAAACAAAACAGCCTTACATTGTATACATGGGAGAGCTGCCAGTGGCTACAACCTATGCCCCAGAAGACCATCACAACAACATGCTGGCTACTGTGATTGGAGAGTAATAACCTCACCTCTCAATTAAAGTTGCATTTCATTATTATGATCCTATGAAAGTGCACCTTTTTTGTTTATTACAATAAATTAGCATAATTTCTTAATGATGAATGTTCTCATTTTTTTTTTCCTTTTCGTTTTTCCTCTCTACAGTCGGCAGCTAGCCAGAGAATACAAAATACACAGCTATGGAAAGAGCTTCAACGGATTCGTTGCACATCTTTTGCCACATGAAGCACAAAAATTACTAGGTATAGTGTTATGTTGCACGGTAAAATAAAATAATACCAACATTAATGGGCATAAGTAATAAATAATAGTGATTTGTATATTTTAAATAAGTTATTTAGGATTCGAATCTTAATTTTAAAGATAAAATAGATTATGTTGAAAGAAAATAGTCACAGTAAAAATTAGACTTAATTAGTATTTCTGATAATAAATACTTCATATTAATATTATAATTAAAAATAAAATAAAATGATAAAAATCAATTATGTAAGATAAAAAGATAAAATTTCAATTCAGAATAGGAAGCAATAAAAAAATCTATAAAACAACATTTAAGTTTTTAAATTTTAAAAATCAAATTAATTACTTTAAGACATAACTTTTCTTTGATACTCATATATATAATATCCATCCATGTATGCTCATTTGATCTCTAATTTCATGTATGCAGAGGAGGACAATGTGGTATCAGTCTTTCCAAATACACATAACAAAATACACACTACAAGGTCATGGGATTATCTGGGATTGCCCCTAAGATTGAGCAGACACTCAGTTGAGAGCAATATCATTGTCGGTTTGTTAGATACAGGTATATATAGATACAAAAGAAAGTATTAATATTTTAATATTAATAAGTAAAATTGGACATCTTTCATGTATTTAATTGGATGTTTATATGTATACTTTTTAACATTTAAACAGGAATTTCGCTTGATTGCCCTAGTTTCAACGATAAGGGGTATGGGCCTCCCCCAAGCACATGGAAGGGCAAATGTGTGACAGGGCCCAATTTCACCGGATGCAACAAGTATTCTTCTGTCCATACTCAGATTTTTCTCGGCTTCATGGAAAAAATATATATGAACTTCCTGATTTTTTTTTTAAATTTTTTTGTCACATTCTATTGATGAATAATTATACTTGTTTTTTTTTTATTATTTTCTTTCTTTAAATTCATACTTTTATTATATTTTAGAACTTAAATATACTTTTAATCCTATAATATATTATTTTTTGAAAAGTACTTTTTTTTTTCCTTTTTTTTTTGTAATATGTGAAAAATTTGTTTTTAGTATTAACTAATTTACTTTTTCAAATGAACTAACTCAATATGAACAGAATATTATTGGGACTAAAATTTAAATAAAAAAAAGATATATTAAAGGGACTTAAACAAAATAACAAGGACCAAAATTAAGATAGTAAATTTTACCCTTTAAAAAATTACAAAAAAACCAAAAACATTATTTAATCCATATTTTAATATATAAATAATTAAATAAAAACTAAAAAAGAAAAAAGGTTAATGAATAATTATAGTATTTAAGATAAATAATTTATTTCTAATTTGATAGAAAGAACTATTTGTAAAAAAAAAGGATAAATTTTGAAATTAATTAGAATACAATTAAAGTTCAAAGAGTGTATTTACAACGAGGTAAAATTTAAAATTTAATTAAAACAAATTAAACTTTATGTGTCTATTTGTAAATCGATTAAAGTTTAAAAATTAATTAGAATAAAATTAAATTTTAAAGTATCTATACGTAAAAAGATATAATGTTTAAGGAGTGACACTAGTTGAGTCCCTTTTCTTTTATTTTTGTGTTATATATTTTTTATACTTAAAAATGAAATAGATGATTTATAATAATCCTGCTGGAAATTTTCAAAGAGTTGGATAATTTATCTTGACTTTACATAGTATTATTGTATCTTATATTAATCTAAATTTTTATAGGATTATATTTTATTCTAATATAAACTTTTATATACAAAAAGAAAAAACATTAAACTACAATTCTACAAACATTTCAAAACAAAAAGAATACGATAATTAGTTAACTAACTTTAATTCTATATAATTAAAGTATTTCCTATTTAAAAATCACGTCAACCACATTCAAAAAAAAATTACCGAACAAAAACAGCTGTACATATACAAATGAATAATCGTCAAAAAAAAAAAAAAAAAATAGAATGTGCATGTAAAGTGCCATGTGTTTGTAGTAAATATTATTACAGGGGGTGAATTGAAGTGTACATATTATTATTATTCGAACCTAAGTACATGGCCCGATGCATGCAGCAAGGTGATCGGGGCAAAATTCTTCAACCTCCAAAACGCCCCGGTGACGAACCTGAGTCCGGCGGACGACGACGGGCACGGCACGCACACGGCGTCCACCGCGGCGGGGGGGGCGGGGGGGGGGGGGGGGCTGGC